GAGAGAGAGAGAGATGTGAAAGAGAGGGGGGGGGGGGGGGGGGGGGGGGGGGCAGTTGGTGTTCAGGGCTGGCTCCAGCGGCAGTGGGCACTTGTGTGGCCATTGTGTTTGGGGCAGGGATGACAGGTGAGCCGGCGCTGATGTTTGCGATGTTGGGCTGTGTGCTCGCAGTCATAGAGGTGATGCCTGCAGTGCGAAAGCCACCAACACGTTTAGCCTAGTGTTTTGATTTCCTGCACACAGTCGAAGTCTGAATATCTCTATTAGTAACATCTGTTCAAAAGCTTTTTAATCAAAAGATACGTTTTCTAAACAATTTTGAATTATTAATAGTTTCACCCAAAAATTAACATTATCATTTATTCACCCTTATGTCATTCCAAATCTGTACGACTGTCTTTTGTAGAACACAAAATAGGAAATTAAAAAAATTCTAGTGTTTTGAACACCATTGTATGAGGGGGGGGGGGTCCAAAACATCTTGTGTGTTCTGCAGAACAAGTCAAAGGTTCGAAATGACATGAGGGAGATGACAATTTCAATAAAAGACTATTTAAATAATAAAAAAATTCCATCAGAGATGAAGCACAGAGGAGAAAGATAAATGGTTTACCTGCCATCAAGCTAGAAGAGCTGACCGGTGTGGAACTAGCAGCCATTCCTGCTGCCGGCGCTCCTCTGCCCTGGTCTTTAACTATGGGGTCTACACACAAAGAAACATACCATAAATGTTATCTCAACATGAAGACAAATTATGACATGAAGTTTCCATCAACATGTACATTAATTCCATCTGAAGCAGTTAAACAGTTCCATGACACCTTTCAACTTGCATCTGGCAACTTCACTCAAACCAAAAACTATCTGTAACAATTGTACTAAGCAGGGCTCAAAAATAAGGATGGCCTGGTCTAGTGTGTGAGTTTTAGACAATTTGTCACTTTCCCTACTGTGTTTTGTAGTTGATCATTTACATGTTTTTTTTTTTCTTTCTTATTTTCTGGCAATGACCAGGATAATTCACAAGAAAATAAAGAGCAAAAGGAGGAGACATGATGTAAATACAAAGTATTTGTCCTCTGCATTCAACACCAAGTTAGTGCACACACATTAGGAGCAGTGAGAAGAACACACACTGCAAACCGTGGACACACAAACACCCGGAGCAGTGGGCAGCCATTCACTGCAGCAGCTGGGGAGCGATTGGGGGGTTAAGTGCCTTGCTCAAGGGCACCTCAGTCGTTTCCTGCCAGCATTGAGAATCGATGGGTTACAAGTAGGGATGCACCGATCCACATTTTTTTCACTTCCGATCCGATCCCGATACCTGAATTTGGATATCGGCCGATACCGATACTTTTCCGATACCAGAGCTGTGTTTGCTTAATATTTTTATTATCATTATTGTTGATTATATGATGCTGAAATAAACTCCTCTCTACAGGCAAGTATGATATGTACGTATGTATGCATGTATGTCAATATATATATATATATATATATATATATATATATATATATTAAATAGGGGTGTAACGATATTTGAACCGAACCGAAAAACCGCGATACACCACCCACGATACGTATCGCGATACTCTCATGGTGAACCGAACGCGCCCCGCCCCCTGCGGCCCCCGCCCAGCCCCGGCTCATTGCACCTCATGTGTTGTGTACACAACGAATACAGGGCTGTTGCCTAACCACCATTAACCACATATAATCGCAATAAGCTCAGTGTTTTGTTACTTTTGATAATAAGCCAGGTGTAATCTTTCAAATTATGTCTATTTGATCACGAAATGCAAACAATAAATGCCGTTTTGGCGCTCTTAGATGTGGCGTGACAGATATCACTGTATGCATGCGGCAGCGCGGAGCGCGATCATCTTTTCCTCAGTTACAGAATAAACATGAATGGACACCCGAAGGTATGTTGAAAGATACAGTATACTTACTGAAAGGCATCATAACTCGTGTAAACACTCAATCAGTGTTTCAACAGCGGAAATACGTCAATAAAACGCTTAGTTTTTCACATAGCTTTATATTTACCTCATGCAAGTCATTCAGTGTCCACAGCTTGCTGGTTTGCTAACTCTTTCACTAAATAAATGATATATATTAGCCTATATATTATATTTTACTTAACCTGTTTATGATGTCTTGATTATTTAATGTATGTTTAAAATAGTTGTCATGAAAATAACAGCAACTGTGTAAATTATTATATGACAATAACAAATTAGAGTAAAAACATGTTAATGCAAAAATTGCCTTATGTGCAGTTTACATGTTTTCATACAATTTGTTATTTGAGTGTTGATTATTATTATATAATTTAGGTTAAAAGTCTAGGCTCTGTTGTTAAGCTTTAATGTTATAGTAATGTGCAAGTAAGGGCTGTAGTTTACAGCATTAGCAGATAATTTTGTTGTCCTTGAGAAACGTTTACTTGTAATTGAATTAATTTAAAGACAAGGACACAATTTGTTCATTAAAGCACTGTTTAATAAAAAATAAAAGCAATTTTAGCTTTCTAACCCCCCCCCCCCCCCACCCCACCGAAATGAACCGAACCGAGACCTCAAAAACCGTGGGACGAACCGAACCGTCAGGTTTGTGTATCGTTACACCCCTAATATTAAACAATAGATAAACAAAAGATAGACAATTAAACAAAGATACACATTATACAGGCCTACACAGTGCTTTAATTTCAGGAAGGTCTACTAACATTATTCAGGTATGGTCTAAAAATAATTATAATAAAGTAATCAAAAGTAAAATAGCACTGCAAAGTTTATCATAGATAGATTTATGCTTATTAAAGCTAAAGTTATTCATTCAAGAGCTGTGAGTGATTGCCTCTTTGCCTTTTGTTGTTTGATTCTCAGTAATGAAACAATCGTCAGCATGTTTATTAGACTGCTTCCCCTTTAAGAACGAGTGCACCATATTTTCTCCCAACTATTTCCATAACTACGTCCATTTTAGACAAACTGTTTAAGTGAATCTCCAAGCCGGTCATTTTGACATTTTTGTGTAGGCTACATTTGATCGTTTAGACGTGCATATGAAGCCCAAAGTATAATGTGCTTGTCTCGTTGCGGTCTGTTTCGGAGCGCGCGACGCGGGAACAGCTTCTCTTGCGCAGATTTTTGTGCTTTTAATAGCTTTTTTTATTATTAAAAGCGTCCCGCAATTTAGCAACAGTAGAGACTGCATTTTACAACAATCACCGATCATGCTGATGGGCTGTCGTGTTGTGCGCGCTGTGGCACCGCGTGAGAGATCTCTCTCTTTCTCTTCTGGACTGCGAATAGCAAACATGCATCACAGACAAATGGTTTAATTAATACGGCTTTGCAAACATTGCATTTTGCTGTCTTGCTCTGCTGTGGTGTTTCCAGTGTGAAGTATTTCCACCATAGGATTTCCACACAGCGAACATGTTGGCAGCTCAATGCTATCCTGCGAGCTGGCTGCAAACTGCGGAATGGATTTCCTGAGGGGGGGTCTCTGTGTCTCATTGAGCCGCACCTCCGTTCAGGATATCCATTCCACAGTTTGCAGCCAGCTAGCAGACTAGCCGGCGGGCCGCGGGAATCACTTTTGGAGTCGTTTCAGCAGACTACGTTAAAGCGCAGACATGGCTCATGGATATCGGATATCTCCGCAGGTTGGATCGGGAAAATCCGATACGTGAATTACGCTGGTATCGGTCCCGATACCGATACTTGATCGGATCGGCCCCATCCCTAGTTACAAGTCCGACTCTCTAATCATTAGGCCACAACTGCCCCTTTTTAAAGCTTTTGCATTAAAAATTATGTATAAAAAATGCAAAAAAAAAAAAAAAACATTGAAGAGACTGTATAGCACAGCTGATTAATATCATTATTTTTGAGCTCCGCAATCAGTTTCTAGTCCCAAATGAAATCACCATGAGGAAGAAAAATTAATTAATGAATAGAACGTCACCATTTATTACTGATCAAATAGCTTTGAAGAATGCAGGACCATAAATTCATTGATTTATTAAAAGGACATACAAGCAAAAACAGCATCAAACTCAGAGACTGGAAAGCATTCACAGGTTTCCAGGGAGTAAATTTTGAAAGTGCTAAACTCTGGGAACTCACAGAAGTAAGGGTGGTCCATGGCCTCGCGGGCAGTCAGTCGCGCCTGGTGGTCATAACGTAGCAGCTTGTCCAGAAAATCCAGAGCCTCTGTACTGACCAGGTGCTGATTCTCACTGTGCACAAACCGTTCCCATCTTTTCCGGGAGTGTCTGGGTGAATGAGTGAGATGTTAAAATGCCATAAATATGACTATACACACACACTTCAGTTTTATAACTAAAAATAAAACAGCTATGGGAGGTAAAAAATTGTTTTAATTAAACTAGATAAAAAGTCTGTCCATCCTGTATTAAATTCATACCTGCCCAAAATGTCATTGAAACGTGGGTCCAGCTCAATGTTATATTTGTCAATGTAATCATACAGGTCCTCTGTACCCAGAACCTTTGCAATCCGAACCAACTAAACAGAAAAACAAGATCACATCAATAAACTGTTCACAAAAGATATTAACCAGCATTATAAAAGTAGATTTTTCCAAAACAGCAAGATTATGAATTCATCAGTCAGGTATAATGTGAATGACTGGACATCACTGCTATTTGTTTAGAATAAACAAGTTGAGACTAAAAATTAATAAATGGTAGACCTGGTCATAGTTGTCATGTCCATGGAAAAACGGTTCCTTCCTGAAGATCATACTGGCCAGCATGCATCCAAGACTCCACATATCCAGACTGTAGTCATACATCTGGAGAGAGACCAAAACATTTATTTGACTAACTCAAAAATATCAACTGGAATTGTCAATAAATGTGAAAACCACAATTAAAAATCTTAAGTAGAGATGTTAATGATTAATCAGTAAACGATTAATCGGCAATACTAATTATTCAATTGTGGATTCATAAATTTGAACACAAATGTGTTCAGTAATCATGCAATGTCCACCACAAAAACCCTGATCTTATATTAATGTAAAATATGATATCTGTGCGGCAACAGTATCTGTTAATGGACACCATAGCACGCAAGAACCGGACAAATCGTACCGCAACATTCGATTTCTATGTTGCTCCGAAAAAAATGTATTCTACACATGCCAAGATATGTAATCATTTGTATCATTGTGTGTAGTACCGATTGATTGATTGTTAATAACCTTGAAAATTCACATCCCTTATCTTAAGAGACTAACCTGATAGTCCACAAGTAGTTCAGGGCCTTTAAAATATCGGGAAGCCACACGCACATTGTACTCCTGGTTTGGGTGGTAAAACTCAGCCAATCCCCAATCAATCAAACGAAGCTTTAAAGGGAAAATGCATATTCAACAAATCAAAAACTGGACTCAATCTATATACACATTAAAATTGCCATCAATTACTCACCCTTATGTCGTTCCAAAACCATAAGAAATTCGTTCATCTTTGGAACACAAATTAAGATATCATTAATGAAATCTTTAAGATTTTTGGCCCTCCATTGACAGTCCACGCAACTACCACTTTGTTGATCTCTCATAAAGAGATCGTAAAACTAATCCGTTGAATCGAGTGGTTTAGTCCAAATTAAATTTAGGTTTTTATTCACATAAATATTCATCAGTGAACATAAAAAGAAGCTCAACCATACGCACGAGAACAAACCACACTGGTTCTTGCAGAATAACACACAAAAATGAACCTCATTAGCATGTTTGAGCTTCTGTTTTCCATATCTGATGTGTGCTGTTGATAAATGTTTATGTGAATAAAAACCTAAAATTCAATTAGTTCATCATTGAAAGCGGCCGTGTCTCTTTAGAAAATTTGGACTAAACCACTAAATTCATAATAGGGATGTTCATTTCTTTTTCTTTTTTCCCTAACCGACAACCAAAGCTCTTTAACCGATCATTAACCGCTAACTGACAAGACTATGTTAAATTCCATTAGAATGGATAAGGGTTTACCAATTAAAAATAAAAAAATTTAGGGGGTTTATTTTTACACGCGCAAATAGCAGCATAAACAACAGAAGAACATGAGGATTCATCGTCACATCACGCACCTGCAGCGCTTCTGTGAACGGAGAAAAACAGAATAAAATCATATATATAAAAAGGAATAAATACACTAAATATATTTCACTTAAATTAACAGATTAACAAAACGAAAAGAAAACTGCAAGTAGTATATGCTGAGTTTCAGTTCATTTTTGTGATGCGCTCCACAAACAAGTTCACGGAAAGGAAACTAAGACAGCATAAATCACATCCTGTTTTTTATTTTTTTTACAAAAGCACGCGTTTTATTTTTATTGTGTGTACAAAAATAAAAATAAACCTTTTACAGTTCCGAATGACATCTTACTCTTAATTAGCATGACCAGAGTATTTTAAGTTATTTCCGCTGTCATAAGGAAAGTAATTTCAAGTGATCGCGCAGACGCCACGCAGACACACACACAACATATCAGTTCTAGCATTGCTAACTATAATAAAAAAAATATATAATAAAATCCATTCAACCAAACATATAAAGTTACACTGCTCAATTTAAATAGTCCTTAGTACAATCTGTGCCATTCAGCGTGCCCTGTAGAATATGCCAAAAACAGTTTGCGCATGTGAAGAATGATGTTTTACGTCAATATTATAGCGCGAGTGAAGTATAAAGCCTATTTTCCATAAATAATATGAGAGAGGAGGGCTACGTGAGACCAACGTCGGTTTCGGTTTTGCTTTAAATTATTTTGTTTTGGCTTAATGTTTATATTTATCATATAATTGTAATTCTTGTTCTCTTCTGAATACTTGTACTTTTTAAACCGGTAATTAATTATGTTAATTATTAACTATATTCGTTAATTATCAGTTAACCAGTTAATTATGAGAAACCCTAATTCATATGGATTACTTTTACAAAATCTCTTAATGAACGTTTTGAAGCCTGAAAGTGGTAGTTGCGTAGACTGTCAATGGAGGGACAGAAATCTCTCAGATTACATTGACAATATCTTCATTTGTGTTTTGAAGATGAAAGAAAGTCTTACGGGTTTGGAATGACATGAGAGCGAGTAAATTGTGACTTTTTGGGTGAACTAACCCTTAACATTCAAAAGTTTGGCATCAGTAAGATTTTCTTTTTTTTTTTAAAGAAATTTATACTTTCAGCAAGGACACATTAAATTGATCAGAAGTGACAGTAAAGACTTTTACATTGTTACAAAACATTTTCAAATATATGCTGATCTTTTGAACTTTCTAATAATCAAAGTATTGTAAAAGCACCATTGTTTCCAATAAATAAATAAATAAATAGAAGCACAACTGTTTTCAACAATGATAAATGTTTCTTGGGCACCAAATCAGCATATTAGTTGAGATGGACCGATTGCAATTTTTTGGCCGATTCCAATTTTCTTTCTAAGAACTATAACTGACAGCATATACAAACAAAAACCTACGTTTCTTCAATGCAAAATTTTATTTTCTTAAAACACGCAAAAAGTAATAAAATAAGAACAAATAAACAAATTGCAAACAACAGCACAAAAAAATGCAAAAGAATTGAGAGATGAAATAAACACGGCTTTAAGTCTAACAGTAGGTGACCAAGTAAGAAATACTACAGAAATTAAAGTAATCAAATGTAAAATAAAACTGGCTAGTCTTCAATTGTAAAAATTAAATACAGATTAATGCTTAAAATTAAAGTTACTTTAAAGGGGTGGTTGATTATGATTTCACTTTTCTAACTTTAGCTAGAGTGTAATGTTGCTGTTTGAGCATAAACAACATCTGCTAAGTTACAACTTCAACTATACTATATATAAACAAAGTTCAAAGCAAAGGGAGATATTTGCTTTTAAAGAAATCGTTTTTTAAGGACTACAACAAACGACTGGTAGGAACTACACGGGCTTCCTCCCGGGTTAGTGACATCACTAACCCTAAAATTTACATAAACCCCGCCCCCGGGAACACGCAGTCCATATTAAGAAGAGGAAGAGCTGTTGTAGTCAAGCACATTTGTGAGTCAGCTCAAACTGTAGCATCCATCTTTTCTAGGGGTGTAACGATATTTGAACCGAACCGAAAAACCGCGATACACCACCCACGATACGTATCGCGATACTCTCATGGCGAACCGAACACGCCCCGCCCCCTGCTGCCCCGCCCCGGCTCATTGCACCTCATGTGTTATGTGTACACAACGAATACAGGGCTGTTGCCTAACCACCATTAACCACATATAATCGCAATAAGCTCAGTGTTTTGTCACTTTTGATAATAAGCAAGGTGTAATCTTTCAAATTATGTCTATTTGATCACGAAATGCAAACAATAAATGCCGTTTTGGCGCTCTTAGATATGCCGTGACAGATATCACTGTATGCATGCGGCAGCACGGAGCGCGATCATCTCTTCCTCAGTTACAGAATAAACATGAATGGACACCCGAAGGTATGTTGAAAGTAGGGCTGTGTTGAAAAATTCGATTCACCAATTCTGAATCGATTTTCATATTAATTTCTAAAGATCGATCCGTAACTCAGAGGATCGATTTAATAATAGGAACTTTAACTTGCCGCGACTGGGAGATCCCTGTATGCGCATTGAAAGGCTTTCACTCAGCGCGCACACTGTTACAACAACGGGCTTTGAGTGAGTCATTCGTTCATTCAACGAACACGTTCAAAAAAGCTGATTCATTAAAAGAGATGTAATGAAACAAGGTGTTAATTATTTTTAACTTTGAGTTCCACTTTTCAAGGCTCAGCTGAGCAGCAATGCGTCGCATGGGTAACGCTGAAGCTGATGCTTCACTTATTAGAGACCAATATGGCATTGATTCAATGCGTGACTCGCTGATTTTATTTCCCCGCGGCTTCCTCGCGCTGTGGAATGCTGACCAGCGCTGCTCCTGACGCGCATTTATGGTAAATACCCGTGACGTGAACGTTAAAAGGCAGATACGACAAATATTTAGCTTTCCTTTGACACGGCAACCTTTTTCACGAATACATATGACTTCAAAGACAGCCGCAGGTAATCCGCACGCGCTCTGCCGATCTCTCTCATTCACTGTCTGTGCGAAGCCTCTGTAGGCTACAAATCACCACGATAAACAGTCTTGTTTGTTATCATTATGAACTTGTTTAACATTCAATACACATGCATGAAGTTCAAAACAAGCAGTTAAATGTCTATAATAGCCTAATAGTATCAATATGTTGCATAACTACAGTCCTGTAATTCAGGTAACAGCTGGAAAAAAAAACAAAAAAACTCATATCTAAATCTAGAAAATCGGATCAGATCGGATCGAATCGAATAATGATAATCGATTCAAGATCTTGAGAATCGGAATCGAATCGATTCTTGAAATTTGAATCGAAACCCAGCTCTAGTTGAAAGATACAGTATACTTACTGAAAGGCATCATAACTCGTGTAAACACTCAATCAGTGTTTCAACAGCGGAAATGCGTCAATAAAACGCTTAGTTTTTCACATAGCTTTATATTTACCTCAGGCAAGTCATTCAGTGTGCACAGCTTGCTGGTTTGCTAACTCTTTCACTAAATAAATGCTATATATTATATTTTACTTAACCTGTTTATGATATCTTGATTTAATGTATGTTTAAAATAGTTGTCATGAAAATAACAGCAACTGTGTAAATTATTATATAACAATAACAAATTAGAGTAAAAACAGGTTAATGCAAAAATTGCCTTATGTGCAGTTTACATGTTTTCATACAATTGCTACAAATATTACAAATTCATAAATGATATAATAATAATCAACACTCAAATAACAAATTTTGTTATTTGAGTGTTGATTATTATTATATCATTTAGGCTAAAAGTAGGCTCTGTTGTTAAGCTTTAATGTTATAGTAATGTGCAAGTAAGGGCTGTTGTTTACAGCATTAGCAGCAGATAATTTTGTTATCCTTGAGAAACGTTTACTTGTAATTGAATTAATTTAAAGACAAGGACACAATTTGTTCATTAAAGCACTGTTTAATAAAATATAAAAGCAATTTTAGCTTTCTTAACCCTCCCCACCCACCGAAATGAACCGAACCGAGACCTCAAAACCGTGGGACGAACCGAACCGTCAGGTTTGTGTATCGTTACACCCCTAATCTTTTCACATGCAATAGAAAAAAGTCACTGTGTGCATCTCACAACAGTTCCTATACAAGCGATTTATAGATTATCCTGACAGAATATGCTAATTGAAGATAGTTAACTCCACATCAGCAACATAAATTAATCAACTAACCATTCAGAAATGTCCTGTTGTATTCTACATGTTGTCATTTCTTCTTAGTCTCTTCATCTTTGTCTGACTCTGGTTTAAACATACAAGGCAGAACGGTTTCTGACATTTTAGTGTCTGCGTGAGGTAATCGGAGCTGCTAACACACACAAGCTCTTGAAGCTCCGCCCACTGTGTCGGGAGCTGCAGCTCATTTGCATTTAAAGGGCCAGGCACAAAACGGTGCGTTTTTGCTAACCCTCAAAAAGTGACAACTTTAACATGCTATATAAAAATATCTGTGGGGTATTTTGAGCTAAAACTTCACATACACTCTGGGGACATCAGAGATTTATTTTACATCTTGTGAAAAGGGCATTATACTACCCCTTTAATTGTAAGTCAAGAGCAGAGATTGATTTTCTTTGTCTTTTGTTCTTTGATTAACATGACTGACAGAGGCAGGAATATTAGACTGCTGTCACTTTAAGAGTGTATGGACAGATCCAATATACTGTTACACAACATGCGTTTTGTTTCTCAACTATTTACGTTCCAAAACTGACTGTTTAACTAAAAACTCGCCAACACCAGCATTTTGACTATTTTGTGTATTTGATTTACACACATTTAAGAACAGTAAGCCATTCATTTTGGTACTTGTGACTTACAAGCTGTTTGAGAGGCAGCTTCAAGTGTGCTTATGTAGATCAGTGGTGCGTGTGCTTTTGGTGTAAGCATGAAACCTGTGGGAATTTGTTAAACTATGCACTATTTAATTATGCTCTCCTCGTGCAGCTGTAGCACTCCCTTCAAAATCAACCGAAGCCCTAAAATTATACTTATGAATTTTTTGTCCAGAAAGCTCATTTCAGTTTGATAATATTTTTTTTCAATTTTTAATGCAATTTTTTGGAGATTGTGTTTATTATTTTATTTACCTCTAAATTACTAGATTTTATAAATAATTTAATTATCATCAAAAATCAGCTCAAAAAGTCTCACCATTTATTTTGCATTTGTATGTGTGTGGGGCAGGGTAGAGCTGTTTCTTAATTGTAAATGTGTTCAAATCAAACCACTTAATATCTATATGACGACTATCATAATGCAGTCTGCATTGTGACTGACTTATTTGAAAAAAAATTGCCTGTTATATGACCGCCCATTAATTTAAATGGGCATTCCTGTGTGCATGCGAGAGCTCTGCATTGGGCATGTTCTATAGTCTCATGCCTTCATTTGAGTTTTTTTGTTTTGTTTTTTTGACTGAAGGGAGTGCAACTATTTTTATTATAATCACAGAAACCCCACAAATTCAGTAAAAAAATTTGTGTGTATTCCAAGTTCAAGTGCGACAAAGTCCTAAGATCTTGGACCACTCTGATGAACACTCAATTTTGAAAAACTGGCAACAAAAACGGACCGGCCGGCCACCGGTCCGGGCTGAGCATGTGGAAAACCGGCTTATTCCGGACCCTGGCCCTTCGATCGGTGCACCTCTACATATTAGAATGATTTCTGAAGGATCATGAGGCACTGAAGACTGGAGAAATTATTCTAAAAATTCACCTTTGCCATCACAGAAATAAATTACATTTCAAAAATATATTTAAAAAGAAAACAGTTCTTTTAAATTGCAGTATTTCAAAATACTGCTGTTTTTACTGAATCGGATCAAATAAATGCAGCCTTGATCAGAATATGGGATTTTCAAATGCATTAAAAAAAAGCTACTGACCCCAAACCTTTGAATGGTGCTGTACATATACATAAATAAACAAGCAATGCTCAACGTTGGGTATATTCTTAACTTGGGTGATACCTTTCTGTGCTCATGGTCAATCATAACATTGTGTGGTTTTACGTCTCTGTGCATTATTCCCATACTGTGGCAGTAGTCGAGAGCCTGGGGATAAAAGAGCGTATATTATTATATACATATTATTAATACTATGAGCTAGGGCTGGACGATATGGCCAAAATTTATATCACGATATATTTCTTAATTTCGGTCGATACGATATAATTCCGATATCGATATGAACAGTATAAAAGCCTCAGGAAAAACTGCCAAGAACGCCCACAATGAATGTCTGTACCTACAAACTTGTGAAAGATTAATTTGCCAAGTCTCTGAAACCTCCTCCTATAAAACTTCATAATATTTTAGGAATAAAAATGGTACAAATAAATGATTGTTAATATTTCATTTGTATTTAGCCTTCGTACAAACAAGAAATGTGAAATCACGGTCAAATAAACATAAGACTCGAAATATTAATATCTTTAACTTTAAACTATAGGCTAACATAGGTTGATTATAATATTCTTATATATTGAAAAAGGTGCTTCAGCCAGAATAAAGAATAAGAAAAGTGCTCAGAGTTGCTGCAGAAAAAAAACCGCAACAAAACCAGATGTTGCTGAGGGACATTTTGAGTGTTGACACCCTGAATTCATTCCGATTGATGAATCTGAATGTAGTGTTTACATGAACGCTTAACAAGTGATCGGGTCACAAGCTTTAAGCTTCAAATCGGAATTGATTTTTTGACATGTGCACACTGCACAAATAGAGTTTCCCGCTGTTTGCACATAATAACTATTCTCCTACATTGATTATTTGTTTTAAACCGCAGACTTAATATTTATCCATTTCTGGTGATAATTTGGAGACAATGAACATATGAACCGTTGTGCCGCTGTTTACATTTATAACGCAGTTAAAACGCCCCTCACCGCCATAGACTAGGGGTGGAACTGTACACAGAAGTCACGGTTCGGTACGATTTCGGTACAATGGAGGGAAAAGCAAAACAAAAATGCAGAAGGCATTGTATTTTTTAAATAAGTTATTAATAAAGGCATAGAACCAGTTTATTTGTAGTGCACTGACAATAGTTTTATATAATTAGTTTAATAAAAAGACAAAAAGACCTTGCGATATGTTTGGTAATTGTACCTGAATTAATTTAAAATTAATTTGCTATATTTCAGATCAATATATTTGTTTTCCTTAATTTTAATTAACATTATTAATTAACAATGTAACATTATTCTCATCTGAATTATAAATAATCGATTTCTGTATAAAATAATACTACCATTAAAAACACAACTTAAAACACTTGATTTTCTTTTTTAATCAATGTAGAATGTGTAAGATCAGTGCTCCGAGGACAAGAAATGAAAACCAATGCAATATTATGAATGTCCAAAAGATGGGACCCACAGACTGTTATGAAATGGAGTTGGATAAATATGTTTTGCTTTGTGTGTGTGTGTGTGATTTTGGTTGGGTGACAGTTGTAGGTTACAGTTTGACAAGAGTTTACAGTGTGACAAAAGCACAATGTTGTGTTTTATTGCGAGTGTACACAAATATAAGTAAACACTTTGCAGGTTTAATGATCTGTATGAACAAAATGACGGAGTATGTTTTTTATGTTTCCACTGTTCGATCGCGCCCGCGCGCCTCCCTCCCCCTCTCCCTCACAGTTCGATCGCGCCCGCGCCTCTCTCTCTCTCTCGCACACACACACACTCCAGCATTGCAATCTTGACATCGCAGCCTGTTCATTATGCGGTCACACCAAACGCGAATAGAGCGTCAAATTCACGTCTAGTTCGACGCTAGTCCAAAGCGAATAGGACCTAGCCGATGGTACAGATAAAGAACCCGCGTATCTAACAGTAGTTCCGCATTACATTAATTAATTTGCACGTGAGTTTTATTTATTTTTATACCGTGTATTCTCTGTGTAAATTCGGGCACCGAACCGTGACGCCCGTACCGTTTCGGTTCAATACAAATACATGTACCGTTCCACCCCTACCATAGACTGTAAAAAAAAAAGAAAAGCGCACGCACCCAAAACCAGTCGTCTGTGGATGAGACTCTGAAACAAGGACTGGTGGGACGTTGTCCTGCTCCACTTCACAGATGCTGAGTGAAATGAGAATTATAGAATGGCGGGACGCTCATTTATATAACACTTTATTTAAACAGGAAAAACAGCTTGTTCGCACGTCATACGCTATTTCAACGTCATTGCACATGCGCAGTCCTTTCAGTTTCGGTTTTCAATCCGATCAAGTGTTTACATGCCCTCTCGATCGTATTAGAAAAGGAATCAACCACCGCTCTCCATTCGATCGAAAATTCATTCGGATCAAGCTCAATCGGATCGATTAAGGCGTTTAAATTAAGGCTTTTCAGTCCGATCGAGCCGTCAATCCGATTGCTAATGGATTATCTGGTTGCATGTAAACGTAGCCCATGCCTGTAATGTATATTGAAATATCAAAAATGTGTTTAAAAATATCACCGTTATTGAAAAAAAATATTGCGATATATATTGATATTGTCCAGCCCTACTATGAGGATTACTCAAACTGTTTTGCCATTACAAATAAGCCAGTGAGGCAGATATTGGCTGGTTATGTTCCATGATATCGCTCTTGCAACCCACTTTTAAAATGGGCTTAAATAATGGTAAGGTCAATATGCACCTTTGTACAGGAGGATCATTGTGATCATCTCACCTTAAGAATTTCATACATGTAGAAGCGAATGTCATAGTCTGATAATGTTTGATACAGTTGCTGTGAAGAAAGAGAAACAATTAACTACAACCTCAAATTAAATGCATATACATTCTCTAAGGAGGGCCGACAAACATAAACATCTCTTACCTTGAAGTCTGTGTTGTTAACATGCTCAAAAACCAGCGCTGGTGTTCGGGACTGTGGATGGAAAAAGCAGAATGTGTTTTAACCCCGAGGGCACACAAACACACTTGCATATTTACTTTGAAAATTAATTAACTTTCCAAGAAAATACCAGCAAGACATTATAAAAAGAGTCACAGTTGAAAAAATACACTGACACAGTCATAAAGTAAGGAAGACAATGACAGTTTAACTCCCAAATATTTCAATAAACTCACCACAGGATCCTTTACGATGTCTAAAAGCGTTATGATGTTGGGGCCTCCTCTCAAGTTCTCCAGAATTTTTATTTCTCGTTTAATTTTCTTCTTTTTCACTGGCTAAACGTACAAGGGGGGAAAAAAACACCTTAAATATAAACAGACTTATCTCCTGTCAAATCTTCTCTGAGGTGTGAAACAAAACATCAGATGATACCTTGAGTATTTTGACGACTACTTTCTCATTGTTAGTGATGTTTATGGCTTCAAACACTTCACTGTATTTTCCCCGGCCAAGCTTTCGCACTAACTGATAGTCATCCTGATTTCTGCATAATACAAACATACAACAGAGTACATACAATGTGAGTTTAACACTAACACTCTGAAAGCATCAAACATTAATTGTTAAAGCAGCACATTTGATCCAAGGCTTCGGAAAAGCACAAATACTTATATAACAATTAAATGTGAAAATTGGCTATTTAATTACAGCACATGTCATTTTTAAGTACTAAAAAATTAAAGAGAACACACCCCCAGTCCACCACATGGGATTCATAGTCCCAGTACTCTCTGGGTCGCTGTGTGTTTACATCAGGGTAAACTCGAGAGCGACTTGGGACAGGGCCAGACATATTCTACACACGGTATTCCCTGAAACACCTGGAAAGACAACAGTATAAAAAACAGAGTTTACAGGAGGATCAGGAAGATGTTTATCAAATCAAACAGCTTTGAATAGCACAGTAAATAAAAGCTCTGAATTGCATCTAGACCAAGGGTTTTCAAAGTGAGATACAGGGCTCAGGGCTCCAGACTAACTTTTCCACTGGTTGCACTGGTGCTACCAACTTTCTCAGTTGGTCGCACCAGCATATAATTTGGTCGCACTCGCACCTTTTTTCTTTTCTTTTTTTTGCTACATGCCATGGGATTAATCAATGCATGCTGATGAATAGTGGTCCTAAACTGCATACCATAGTTTTACACTGATGTAAAAAGACTGACAGTGACAAGACCTCATGTTAGCAAAATGTTTTAATCTTTTAACTATCAAATCAAAATATTCTCAAAAAAATATATTAAAACGTTAAAAGTAAAAAGATGACTGAAAAATAGTAGTATTTAATTAAAAGCATTTATGGTGAGATTACTACATTTTATTTAATTAAATGCATTTATGATGAAATTCATTGTCATGTTAATTTGTGCTCATTTTGACCACGAACTATGCGCTGTCACCTTAATTCAGCGCGTGCAGCACAGCAGAAATAGACTCGGTGTGTAAACGATCTATGCACTGCTGTATACGCACCACTCCTGGAACGGATGCAGTGAGAAAATACCGTGTCAGGCTAGACAAATATTGATCTTGACATTGTTAGCCTCTTGTCTTTTTTACATGTCGTACACTGTACATTTAACTTACACTTATTATGACTTAATTCCTAATTGGCGCATTTCACCATCAGTGTGCAATGCGCGTGACGTGTACGTTCGTTAATAAATAAACTGCAAGTGTCTTGCGGAAGAACATTGTAGCCGGAGCTACTTCCCTCCGTTAATGTCTATGGCAAGTCACGCAGACACTGGGCAACTCCGCGGTCGAGCCGACCCCGGGATAAAATAGTCAGAATTAGGGCTGCACGATTTGGGCCAAAATGATAATCACGATTATTTTTATCAATATTGAGATCACGATTAATTATCACGATTATTTGTTGATTTTAACCAAAACAAATGTTATTGTCACATAGGCTAATTATAACTGCTTTCACATTATGCTACATTCCTGCTAATGTACAACTATGTGCATCAAAATAAAACAGGTCCTCTTATTCACCAAAATTCAGTGCATCTCTTTAAAGAATAAATAAAAACAAATAAAACAATAAAGAAAATGTAGCAAAACTTCAACAGGGCACTATTTTACATTGTGTAAATATAAAATAAAAATATAAACTTGCATTGTACCTGCATAATGGATGTGAATAAAACGCACAAAATATACAATCAATAAAAAACAAATATTCCATAACAGAATGTAACCAAATGAGAACATTTCAAGGCAGAACTAAGCACTTAGCACTATGGAAGTTCGATTAATGGATGAAATTCAGAGTCATTGTTATTTGACGCTTAAGAAATGTAAAATGTTGTGGTACAGTGTCAGTGATTAGTCTTACTGCATAAATTGAATCTTATTTAATCCTCCAAAGTGTATGTGCTTGAATTATTTCTACTTATTAAACAATAGTTCAAAACAAGAGTTTGTAGTACTGATTATTGGAGTCCATTAATCGAACTTTCATGCCATATTAATATGTAGTATGTATGTACCAATTTACTAATGCTCACACTCGGTCTCTCACGCGCACCGTCACTCGGTCTCTCTCGCGCGCAGACACAATCGGTCTCTCTCGCGCGCTGTCGCTCGTACGCAGACACACTCGGTATCTTTCGCGCACTTTCGAGCGCGCTCTTGGACACTCGGTCTCTCGTGCACTGTCGCTCGCGCGCAGACGGTCTCTCTCGCGCACTCGGGCTCATGGAGGCACGTGATCAGACAGTGGTTTACGGAGCGCTAGATTGGCTTTACAAAAAAAAAAAACCCTTTGATACGGAGTGTTCTGTGAATGTAATGACGCATTTTAAATATCGCTCGGTCACGCGAATTTGATCGTGGGAAGCCAAAATCGCGATCGTGATTAAAATTCGATTAATCGTGCAGCCCTAGTCAGAATATAAACACTTACTATAGGCGTACCGTAGTGATTCAGGATAAGTCAAAAACACGGTTTGGAAAATGGATTCATGATGTACTCGTTAATTTTGAACATACGGACAGCAGCAGCTGCTGATACAACGGCGTTCTGTTGCGCACACTCGCACAAATGCGACCACATAAAATTTTAACTCGCACGTTTTTAAAAAAAATGGTTGCAGTCTAGAACCCTGGGGCTGCAGGTCAAATGTTTAGAGAAAAACTCTACAAAAACATTTAAGTTAAATAAATTAAACAGGTAAATAAATAAAAGCTAATTAAAATAAGTAGATGGGAGAATTAATAAATACACAGTACAATAATTAGCAGACAAATATAGTACTGTAACTTAATAGAAATTAAATATTTTCCAAGTAATATTTTGACATTATTAATAGGATTACGTTTTTTTTCCACAGTACAAACTGGGTCTTTATACAAGAAACTAAACCGATGCCTTTTACATTTTAGAATAGGACCCATTGCATGAGGATGACCATATTTGGAGGTCTGTGGCATCTAAAAGATTGAAAACCCCTGATCTAGATTAATTTCATAAAGTGTTAAGCATACTTATATATGTTGGTTATTACCTTGGAGGGTTCCTCCAAGCAGCAAATGACAGGTGAAGCTGATGAAGGCAGATGTGATGACTTTATGGTGGACCATAGGCTACAAAATACATTAAATTGGCCTGTTAAGACAGCTGATGATCAAATCAATTCAAAGTAAACCACTTTCATTTGAAATTCACTATATTCAAGCACTGCCACACAAACAACCCACCTGATTGTAATTCGAATGAAAGAGGACATCCAGGAGCTTATTCAGGAGACACAGCAATCCTAAAAGTCCTTCCTCATGGCCCTCCAGATGCTGGAAAACACAAGGAGGTTGTAAACTTTACAGACACCGCTGTACAACATCAGCCTGAGTATCAAAGTACTGATTTATGGAACAACGTCCATTAATAACAAACTAGGTTACTGTACTGCCAGATAGTCATTGGACTAACAAATCGCTGTTTGTGACAAGACGTGTGATCTTCCTGAATGAATTACTAATTATTAAAACCACATGAATTAGCTCAATTAAAGCAGGGATGGGAGAAAAAACACATTGGAATATATAAAAGCCGAACTAGAAATTATATTTAAGCTCTATAGCCTCCATTATTAAAAGGAATACTAGTAATTTTTTCCTTAAATCAATATCTTGTTTTGAGGAGCCACAGGCCTGGTGACACAGCCAAAGAAATCAGTCTAGCTCACTAGACAGCTTTTCTACATTCCCAACTTTGTCCACATGTAATACACATTATTAAATAACTACAAACAGATCATATAAGCAATATAATTACAGGATGTCTCAATTGTATTATCAGCTTTCCTAACAGCTGTTAGTTAGCCAGCTAGCCGCTAACTAGCATAACGTTTGCCACACCTAAGCCATATCTAATTCATTTAACGACACATTTAACTCATTCACACTCCAAATAGTTCATTTCAATTTAAAACAAATTATAGAAGCATAAATCACCCAATACACTAACCCGGGGACACATATCACAGTGTTCTATCGCACAAATGCTGCTAGCTGAACGTGGCGCAACACGCCACATCAAAGCTAACGCCATTCGCACAAAAGATTAAACAAGCGCATTCAAGAAAATACTAACCAATTCATAGTCATATGAATTATAAAACATACACGAAGTTTATATTTGTGTTTAATCGGACCCGCAATTAATCCAGCCAGTTTAGGTCGGTTTTTATAAAGAATACGGCGGGTTTAGGTGGTTAGCGAGTAACGTTAGCACTGGCACGCGCTAACTGTGTCGCCTGCAAATACCATGAGATAAATTCACACAAGCGTGTATTAGTACTCCAGTGCCTTACACGTGTGTCCTTTTTTGAAATAATGCGAAAAGCCAGTAAACATAAGAATACAAATATCAGTAGGTCGTAAAGCACACTGCATTACCTCTCGGCGTCTCCTGATAGACAATATGGCGGATGCTGCACTAGAGAAAGGCTGCGTCTCATTACCTAGCGACCTGCTCGACAAGACCGTGTTGAATGCGCATGTGATGTCTCAAGATGCTGTCTACGTAGGCAGCCCACTAGTTTTTGAGTCACGGCTAAAAAATATAACTCGCAGACACACAGACAGACCGGTTTCATTCTGTACATTCTGTATGTGACTAAACGTGTAGGCCACTGTGTATTGTAGGCGGTTACATGTCTAATGCTCCGGCAATGTAAATATTTTTAACCATGCCAAAAAATCTCCGAATCCTAGATACAGACAGACAGATTGACAGAAAGTGACGTGAAGTTTTTCTTTCTTTCTTTACTTAATTTTTGCAGGCTATGTTGGTATATTTCCAGAAATTATTTCTGCATTTATTTTCCCTTTTTTGTTTTTGCTTCAAAGTCTGCACATCTGTCAATGTTTTGTTTTCTAGTGTTTAGGTGTGTATGACATTATAAGCTATTCAATTGCATATAGTTTCTCCAATTGAATATTCATCCAATTTGTTTAAAGCAACCATAATTTTGAGCAATCAAATGAATCCTGCTCATTTGTATTATTGCACAATATGATTTCATGAACAGCAGACCATGTTACTAAGTAGTTAAAAACTAAAAAAGTTAACATTTAATCTTCCTAGTGGTAATTTTCAGAGGAGACAAAAAGGAGTGCTGTCCTTTCCCAGTTTTTATCTGGTGAATCTGTTGGCATTAACAACAAACAAAATGTTGTTTGTTGACAAACAAAGAAGATAAAGGCAAGTTCTCAAGGAGAATCAGTGTAGAATTACCCTCAGTTATAATTAAAATCCATGAACAGCTGTTAGCATTACAATATACACCCATTATATACCCTAGTTATTTCCCTTCTTTGTCAATTATTCCTTCTCTGATAGATCTTGTGATTATATCACAGAGACAGTGTTTTATAAAATATAATGTACAACATAAACTAACAACATGATTGTGAGAAATACCAGAATGACATCCAAAGAGATAACATTCAATTACTGTGGTATTGAGCAATCTGTTTTTATTTATTTTTAATTAATCCAGATTTCACATATGTTCCAATTTCATAAAAAAAGAGAGCAATATTTACATCAATTCTTAACTTTTCTGTTTTGGTATTAAAACTTATCAATAATACAATCATTTCAACCGCTGTAGGTATGAACAGGGAACAATAGATCATTAATTATGGATCAATGTTTCATAATTATCACTTAATACATCAATGTCAAATAGGCCACTGTAGAGATGATCATGAAAACAAATGGTTCAATGACTATTACTGTGGTGTAAGAGTGTAATGTCTTCATACAGATTAGATCATAAATTGATTGCAAGTGATTTTTAAACACTGACACTATATCATCCAATGTCAAGGGTAATGACTTCAGCTCTTCTGTTTTATTCAAAAGAAAAGAAGAAAAAAGGGTGAACACATTTTCTAAAAGATATGGATAAAGGAAACATGAAAAAAAGTTTTTAAAAAAGTGGACATTCCCATGGATGATGTCGTCATCTTAAGGACTATGAATGAATGAGGTTTAGGATAAACCTGAGACGTGGCGTGTAGTTTGAGCCCCACTTACCTGCCTGATCCTTTATCACACAAAAAAAGAAATGTTTCCTTTGATTATTAGTGTGCTGATCATATCAGTTTTCAGAGACATTCTGAGAATTATTTAGCCAACAACCCTACAAAACATTCCAGATAACAAAAGTGACTAAAGAGGCTGTATGAAAGAGAAGCCCTTATATATGTGAGCAACAGCAACATTGAGCTGATTTATTCACACCTTTTTTTAAATGGGATCCACTGTGGAAAGAATTATCGAGCGTCATAACCAGAAATGCAAACTTGATTAACAACTGATGTCCTGTATTAAAGTTCAGCTCTAAATTGAAGTGAGCTTGGCATGTTCCTTTAAAACATGTCTATTCTCCTGCTATTATTTCTGTAGATAAACATGAACAAGAATTGGAAAATAATTTAATCCATAATATGTGCAATTTGCTTATCCTTCTCATAGTCATTAAGATGCAAGTATGCAAAGATGCTCTTTTATTAGATATTTCTTTAACATTTGCTCAACTAGCTTTTGATTTCAAAGGTAGAGAAATGTGACATTATCCCAGATCCAAAGTCTTATGCATTTCATATCCAAAAGGGAAGCAGATTGATTATGCATGTGAGATCATTTCAGTACCAACACAGATCCGTTAAATTTTTTCCTCCGTTGGTGTCTATTTGACCACTAGTTAGGCAGAGATCCTGTTTCCATTTCATTTCCCATTATATGACCAACACAAAGTAGTTTTAGCCTCACTCAAAAGTTCATTCTGTAATTCTAAAGTGTCCACAGTACAACTATGTCTCTGAGAAACAGCCACGTGTGAGCACTGAGCGCAAACAACAACAAAATAAATAAAACTATTGAAATTCAAAAATTCTGTACGTATATGCTAAGATCTTTCATTTGAAGCATGTAGTTTGAGGACTCCCTCTTGTGGTTGCTGATAAATTAAGACAAATCTACAGATCTACAAGTGCGCTCGCTCGTGGATTTCTCTCAGTTCATTGGTGCAATTCTGCGGCACAACCGGGTTTCAGATAAGCTGGATTTTTTTTCTGAGTTTTAAAGTGTTCTGAAAGCAGCTAAAACATCCAAAAACCTGGAAGTCATGTCAAAGTGTGCTATGTTATCCATCTAGATGCCCACAGTTCTATTAATAAAGAGCCAGTGGTGTAAAACTCGAATCCCAGAGTAGATTCATGATATAAGGTAGAAAAAAGAACAAGGTTAAATCACTCACTCGCATCCCCAAAAATATAGAGCAACATGCATTCTGACACTTCAAAATAACAAAAGAGAGACAGAGAGAAAGACAGGGTAGTCAAGCAGTTTCATACGAAAGCGCGAGTATAACAACCGTGATTTTGTTGAAGCAGGTGGCCATGATCATCTTTGGATTGTGTGCTGCTGGTACAGTGTGATGGCTGGTAGCGTTGAGTGTGTGCGAATATGCATTGGCGTGTGTTTGTGTTCACAATTCATTTGTGAACACACAGAGGATAGGGGTTTTGTGTGTAGACAAAATTCAAGAGGCTCGCCTTTCACAGCCCTGAGCTGGTAAAGACCCTGTGTTAGGGGTCTGATATAAACACCAAAAGGGGGTTGAATAACCCTCCTGAAAAGTAATGAGTTCAAATGCACTAGGTTGGTAATTTAAGTCTGGTTTAGTCCATGTGTGACTTGCTCCTTCAGATGCAGGCTAGTGAGACCAGATCACATTATGCAGCACTTGCTTTTGTGGTTGTGTGGGTCTTTGAAACGCAGTCTTTGTTTAGGGCGGTACTTCTCCAAGTACGTCAGCTGCTTGCTGTTGATGGCGCCCCGGCGCTTTCTATGTGAAAAAAACAACAACAACAAATACCCATCAGTTATATTAATGTCAGATCAGTGATTTTAAATAATAATAATTATTATTATTATTACTACTACTATATGTACATACACTAAGATATTGATGTTAAACAGGTGTTGAACTGTGAGTACAGTTCATAGCGGGTCGATGGAAACCCATCATCACCGTCACCATTCTAAGTCATTTAGAGCTACATATATGTAATATATATAAATAATAAATTCATTTTTTTATTATAAATGATTTTATTTTAAATGTTTTCTTAATGTTAAACACACACACACACACACACACACACACACACACACACACACACACACACACACACACAATTTAATTTATATACACAATTTATGTGTACAATTTAATTTATGTTAAATTAATAAAGAGCCAGTGGTGTAAAACTCGAATCCCAGAGTAGATTATATATATATATATATATATATATATATATATATATATATACGTACAGCCTTGTATGTGAGTGTATATATACACTCACCTAAAGGATTATTAGGAACACCATACTAATACTGTGTTTGACCCCCTTTCGCCTTCAGAACTGCCTTAATTCTACGTGGCATTGATTCAACAAGGTGCTGAAAGCATTCTTTAGAAATGTTGGCCCATATTGATAGGATAGCATCTTGCAGTTGATGGAGATTTGTGGGATGCACATCCAGGGCACGAAACTCCCGTTCCACCACATCCCAAAGATGCTCTATTGGGTTGAGATCTGGTGACTGTGGGGGCCATTTTTTAGTACAGTGAACTCATTGTCATGTTCAAGAAACCAATTTAAAATGATTTGAGCTTTGTGACATGGTGCATTATCCTGCTGGAAGTAGCCATCAGAGGATGGTACATGGTGGCCATAAAGGGATGGACATGGTCAGAAACAATGCTCAGGTAGGCCGTGGCATTTAAACGATGCTCAATTGGCACTAAGGGGCCTAAAGTGTGCCAAGAAAACATCCCAAACACCATTACACCACCACCACCAGCCTGCACAGTGGTAACAAGGCATGATGGATCCATGTTCTCATTCTGTTTACGCCAAATTCTGACTCTATCATCTGAATGTCTCAACAGAAATCGAGACTCATCAGACCCGGCAACATTTTTCCAGTCTTCAACTGACCAATTTTGGTGGGCTCTTGCAAATTGTAGCCTCTTTTTCCTATTTGTAGTGGAGATGAGTGGTACCCGGTGGGGTCTTCTGCTGTTGTAGTCCATCCGCCTCAAAGTTGTGCGTGTTGTGGCTTCACAAATGCTTTGCTGCATACCTGGTTGTAACGAGTGGTTATTTCAGTCAAAGTTGCTCTTCTATCTGCTTGAATCAGTCGGCCCATTCTCCTCTGACCTCTAGCATCAACAAGGCATTTTCGGCCACAGGACTGCCGCATACTGGATGTTTTTCCCTTTTCACACCATTCTTTGTAAACCCTAGAAATGGTTGTGCGTGAAGATCCCAGTAACTGAGCAGATTGTGAAATACTCAGACCGGCCCATCTGGCACCAACAACCATTCCACGCTCTAAATTGCTTAAATCACCTTTCTTTCCCATTCTGACATTCAGTTTGGAGTTCAGGAGATTGTCTTGACCAGGACCACACCCCTAAATGCATTGAAGCAACTGCCATGTGATTGGTTGATTAGATAATTGCATTAATGAGAAATTGAACAGGTGTTCCTAATAATCCTTTAGGTGAGTGTGTGTATATATATATATATATATATATATATGTGTACAGCCTTGTATGTGTGTGTGTGTGTGTGTATATATATATATATATATATATATATACACACTCACCGGCCACTTTATTAGGTACCCCATGCTAGTAACGGGTTGGACCCCCTTTTGCCTTCAGAACTGCCTCAATTCTTCGTGGCATAGATTCAACAAGGTGCTGGAAGCATTCCTCAGGGAGTTTGGTCCATATTGACATGATGGCATCACACAGTTGCCGCAGATTTGTCGGCTGCACATCCATGATGCGAATCTCCCGTTCCACCACATCCCAAAGATGCTCTATTGGGTTGAGATCTGGTGACTGTGGAGGCCATTTTAGTACAGTGAACTCATTGTCATGTTCAAGAAACCAATTTGAAATGATTAGAGCTTTGTGACATGGTGGAAGTAGCCATCAGAGGATGGGTACATGGTGGCCATAAAGGGATGGACATGGTCAGAAACAATGCTCAGGTAGGCCGTGGCATTTAAACGATGCCCAATTGGCACTAAGGGGCCTAAAGTGTGCCAGGAAAACATCCCCCACACCATTACACCACCACCACCAGCCTGCACAGTGGTAACAAGGCATGATGGTTCCATGTTCTCATTCTGTTTACGCCAAATTCTGACTCTAACATCTGAATGTCTCAACAGAAATCGAGACTCATCAGACCAGGCAACATTTTTCCAGTCTTCAACTGTTCAATTTTGGTGAGCTCTTGCAAATTGTAGCCTCTTTTTCCTATTTGTAGTGGAGATGAGTGGTACCCGGTGGAGTCTTCTGCTGTTGTAGCCCATCCGCCTCAAGGTTGTGCGTGTTGTGGCTTCACAAATGCTTTGCTGCATACCTCGGTTGTAACGAGTGGTTATTTCAGTCACTGTTGCCCTTCTATCAGCTCGAACCAGTCTGGCCATTCTCCTCTGACCTCTGGCATCAACAAGGCATTTCCGCCCACAGAACTGCCGCTCACTGGATGTTTTTTCTTTTTCGGACCATTCTCTGTAAACCCTAGAGATGGTTGTGCGTGAAAATCCCAGTAGATTAGCAGTTTCTGAAATACTCAGACCAGCCCTTCTGGCACCAACAATCATGCCACGTTCAAAGTCACTCAAATCACCTTTCTTCCCCATACTGATGCTCGGTTTGAACTGCAGGAGATTGTCTTGACCATGTCTACATGCCTAAATGCACGTAGTTGCCGCCATGTGATTGGCTGCTTAGAAATTAAGTGTTAACGAGCAGTTGGACAGGTGTACCTAATAAAGTGGCCGGTGAGTGTATATATATACACACACACACACACACACACACACACAAGGCTGTACATCAGTGCACATTGTATGCATAATTTCTGGACTGCATAATGTGCTATAATTTGTTTGTGCTGTATAATTAGCTGTAATGCATTAATGCTGCACAATATCTGTCATGTATCAATGCTGCATCATTTACTGTGATGTGATTGTACTGTATCAATCACTGTATTGATTGGGTATTGTTTAATGTTGCTACAAGGTGTTGGTGATGTTTTGTTAGCTGTAATGTATACTCACTGTCTGATGAACTGAATGGCATCCTCATATTTCATCCCGCTCTCTATAAGTGCCAGAGCCACCAGCACCGGAGCCCTGCAACATATACACACACAGATAGTGTTTAATACCAGGAAACACCATCACCTCAAACAGCTTGTGTGTGCGAACATTTAACCCTTCTCAGCAAGAATACCACCTAATGGATGTGAGAACAGGTTTGCAGTTATAGTATGTTAAATTTATGTGAGTGGCAAGATTCATTATTCTACTACTTACCTTACCGTCTGTTCATCACACAAAGCTATTGTATGGCTTCAAGACTTAATATAGTGCACAAGTCATGGATGAAAAATATATGCTGTTTTTTTTTTTTTTTTTAATAATTTTGGAGCTTGACTGCTCTTTTAGACAAAATGAAAATGAATGGGTATTTGGGGTGTGGAAACCAATTCATTATTCAACTTTTTTCCAGGTTTGGAACAACATTAGAGTATGAAAATAATTTTCTGTTCACTTTAATGACCTTTATTTGGATGTTTATGAATTTCAAGCAGCCATCTAATCCTTTACAGAGTCTTAAATGTCTTTTTTTTTCTTTGAGAGAAAAATCCCAGATTTACTAAAACCCAATAAATTTTTTTTTGAAGAGTGTTCCGTCCCTGTCAGAGACTTTGTCTATTTTTACCGTTTGGTACAGCTTTCAAGTCTCCACTGAGTGTGCCCCCTTCCAATGCGCAACAACACAAACTCAGCCTACTAAAGCAAACACTGTCAAAAACTGCTGAGGGCTCCCATAGGAGCTGCAACCTACGTCAGAGAGGCTGGTGCTTAACTTGTCGGCAGAAGCGGTCAGGGGTCAAAGTGGGAGGAGGGCAGGCAGGGTAAACCGGACTGTCATTAGCCTACCACTCCTGCAGAACCGCAGCATTTGACCGTCTAGCTCGACATCTTGAGCGCCGCAACTTAATTAAAGTCTGTGTGTTTTGACAGCTGACAAGATAAGAGGGCAACACCGACACTAGACCAGGATTCTATACTGAAAAGAGATACGGAGGAGCAAATTAAAGAGCTGCTTATCATCAGCTTCCCGTTTCGTCTTCGGACGTCAACCTTTGTGCCTCCAATAATAAACATGGATTAATATTGTGAGTCCGTGTGGACGGTTGGTTTTGGCACACATCGGTCAGGCAGAGAGAATGGGTTGACCTGGAGAGGACGCGGGCCAAGAATGAGAGGCCTGTCGCTGAGGGGTATTTGGGGTAAAGCAAAAAAAAAAAAAAAAATTTGAAGACCTCAAACACAACACTAACACAAGCCAGCTTAAAGCTCTGCCAGAGATATTACACAGTACACATAATCCATGATTGCATTCTGAGGGAAATAGAGCAACAGATCCTGGGAAAGGCTGTTGATATGTTTGAGAATTTTTTTAAGAGAGAGAAACGAGCCACATAAAGCCTGACCCATCAAATTCAGATGAGCATTTGAACGTCTACAAGTTCTGAACAGCCACAACTGCAGGCTGGGAAATTACTAGGACTATCTGGAATCTGCACCTGCAGAACACCGTAGAAAGCTCAGCAGATTTCCATTTGAACCAATGTTATTTTACTATTATGTATATACTATTATAGTATTTAATATTATTTTCAATTAGCTTTTATGTTTTCAGTTGGATTTTAATTTCATCTTAAGTTTTAGCAATGTTGCGCTTGTCACTTTATTAGTTTTATTATTTCTATTTAGCTTCATTTCAATAGATTTTTTTATTTAACAAAAATTATGTTTTGATTTTAGTTAATAGTAACAACATTGATTTGAACAGCCTAAATTCTAAAATTGTTCACAAAATTCTAGACATCCTTGTGGTCTTTTTTTGTTGTTGTTGTAGTTATAATAGCATTTTGAAAGTTTCAGCCAATTTCCAATCAGAATAATCATTTACATTTACCTAGGTGAGTGTAACAGATACAATTGGGCAATATCTAGCCGCTAGGCAGGAGTGAGTTGTTTTGAGTTGCCACATAATTCCTCACTGGAATATTAGAGCAAAAAAATTGAAAAAAAAAAGCACACTGATTCAGTGTGTGCGCAGCACTGGTTTGATTAAGTTCAATTTGTTCCATTTTAACATACCACATAGGTGGCTATAGCCTTGGACTTAGCAGCACGTCTGTGATAACAGGATGAAGTGATGTGATGCTGTTCTCCTTCACTCACCGGCCCAGTCCGGCCACACAGTGCACAGCCACACAGCAGCCTGGATCCTCACAGAACTTATTCTTCAACAGACTAAGCCAGTCATCCACGATCTTATTAGGAGGAGGTGCACCGTCATCGAATGGCCAATCCTGAGGGAGAGAAACAGAAGGATGAGTTCATATCTATTATAACTATGGATAACTATACATAATGGATAACTATATATGGATAACTATACATCTGTATTTCAAGTTTCCCCTTGAAAGGGAAAGACTCACATAGAGAGACAAAATAGCAGATACGAATGAAATAAATGATTCGGTCACCACCAGCAGGTGGTGCTCTATAATGCTTCAGAGTGCATCATCTCAGATTCACAGCAGCTTGTGAATCCCTTTGATGATTCCTGTGTGATTTTTACAAGTTCTGCAACGGCAAACATGGCACGTTCACTCGTCCTGTCAACTCCAGCACTTCAATCAGATCTGCCACTAACAGCTCGATATAACACCATGTGCAAGAGCTGAATCATCAGAAATATTATGTAAGAGAGAAACAGGGAATTATCACTAAGAAGACATTGCATTCAATAAGCCGTTTTATCAAAGTCTTTACATATTTAAAGGGATGGTTCACACAAAAGTGTTGCAAAAAATACAATCTTCAGAATATCTCCTTTGTGCTCAGCAGAGAAATAAAAGTCAAATGGGTTTGAAAGGACTTGGGGGTGAGACAATGATAGATGAAGTAACACTTTAAATTTGTACATTTCTTTGTACAATTTTATGATTTGACCTGTGGTTTGATATTCACATGCTCTCTATGCTTTAGAGAAACATTCTGAGTTTTGATAATTGCATCAGCAGATCAGAACAAACACATTCAGTCCAGGCACAATCTGACTCACATGCAGATATTAAAGACTTTTTTCTTTCTTTCATGGAAGACTGAAGACTGAACACAAATGTGCTGGGTCAAAATACACTGAAAAACAGAGCATGGTGTTCTGAATCGCTGCTTTCTCAGAAAAGGGGACATTTACAGGGAGCGAGTTGATGAGACCATTTTCTACGAGGACCGTCTATGAGAATCTCCTGGTTTAAAAATAACATTTTAATCCACTAAGAGGTTAATAGGCCCCTCCTTGTCTGGTATGTCAACAGTAGGCTATTAATTCCAGGAGTCCATTCCAAGATGGAAGTGCTCTGTACTCTTGCCAGGGCACACCGACTCCAGAACCAGCAGTGTGGGGCCTAATTGTGGAAAATGCCCTGCCATTTTCCTTGAATCGGATACCTGGTATTCCTCCAGCAACTCGAGCCTCTGCTTAAAAGAGAGCAGGAGAGGTCTGAGGCACCTGTTTGCTGTCAACCAACACTTCAGTTTCATTACTTCCTTTAAAGGGGGTCTTGATTTGAAAACTTTAACTTTGGAGAATTAGATACTAACAATGCACACAAATGTCAAATCATCTGATTTCGGTTTTCTCATAAAAAATAAAAATAAACATGTTGCTGGGTCATGATCTTTCATGAATTATAAAACAGTTTAGATGGTTGTTTCAGTATGATTTGTATTTTATTTTATGATTTATAGTGCATTAAGACTTTTTGCCATTTTATACTTCTGTGAGACAAATGGGATCTGAAAAGTACAAATCTACACTGAAATGAAACCACACAACCTATCATCAAGTTCACAGAACTTTTCTGATCCAACGGTGTAAAAATGTGGAGGATGACTGTTTAAATCCATCTGGATTTAATTAAAATGGAGAGGAAATCCCATTCCATGTTTTGACCCCCTGCAAAGCCATTGCCTCATCACCTCTTATGAAGAGCAGAAGTGTGTGTGTGTGTGTTGGGGGAGTCCACAAACAAAAAAGAGAGAACAAAGAGCAAAGGAACGATTCTCAGGTTGACTCGGGTTGAGAAGTGCAAATACTATGCCATTAAAATTATCATTTGAACAGTCTGACATATGAAATTCTATATCAATAGTGAGAGTTTGAGCAGGACGTTTGTCTGAACAATGGAAGACACTTTTCAATTCTATTTTGCGCCAATGCAAATGGTGCAGCAATTACACATTTCACCTTTAAAGGTAAAGTATATATTTTTTCTAAATTTCCTCTACACCTTCTTCTATACCAGCTTAAAAATGCAATGACAACTATACTACATTCAAAGACAAAATATAGTTTCAAAAGTTAGGGGTTGCTAATTTTGGAGGGATTTATTAATGTCTTTGAAAGAAGTCTCACCAAAGCTGCATTTATTTTGATAAAAAATAAAATAAAAATATAGTTGTGAAATATTATTTCAATTTAAAAATATAGCTGCGAGCAGCGATTACGGGCCCAAGCCGGTGGCACCGCAACCCCGGTGCCTTTAGTTACCTAAAGGCACCAGGGTGGCGGTGCCGCCGGCTTTGGCCCTTCATCGCTGCTCGCAGCTATATTTATATATATATATATATATATATATATATATATATATATATATATATATATATATATATATATATGTATATATATATATATATATATATATATATGTATATATATATATATATAAAAAGCCGGTGGCACCGCCACCCTGGTGCCTTTAGGGTTATTGTGCACGACGTGACACAAAATATCTGCTCACTATCTGCCGAACGACTCTGGTAGTTCCGCTTCAGCACTGATGATGTTGTAGAAATAGTGCGCTCTGGTTGGTCTGGATTATTCGGGATTTTTTATTTTATACAGAAATAAGTTATTTATAATTCAGATGAGAATAAAGTTAGTGTTGATTAAAATGAAGGAAAACAAATATATTGATCTGAAATATAGAACATTAATTTTAAATTTATTTAGGTTCAATTACCAAACATACAATCTTAATTTAATTTAAAGCAAACAATACATTTAAAATATATTGGTTGTATGCACTTTTTTTTATAAAAAAAAGATATATATCCAAAAAGACAAGGCCTTAAAGGGTTAAACTCTTGTCACTGTAACAGACACAATCTCTCTCTAATATATAAATATATATAAATTCAATAGGCCTACATGATTTTGAACACAAGAGGGCAGTATAGCACTATATATGATTTGGATTATTATTATTTTTGACTAAACAACCATTCTGGCTGTTTTTAAACTTAAAAATAATTCTTAAATTGAAAAAAAATTTCTGCTCTGAAAATATAAATAAGCATAAAAATTGAATAAGCACTTTGAATATTCTAAACAGAATAAGCACTAGTCGCTAATGAGTAAGTACTAGTACTTAATGGAATAGATACTAGTATCTAAAAAATAAGTACTAGTAGCATGAAAATAGAGACTAGTAGGTTAAAATGATTAAATGTTAAAACGGCTTGCCATATTAGCTCAGAGAGAGACAGAGAGAGGCTCACCATATTCAAACCAAAATATCTGACTTCCTCTTGGTCTGAGCTAATTACGGTAAATTAGAAAGTTGTCCGGCTCGAAGAGTACAATATACATATCGAGTTTTGTTACTGTGGATAAAACTAACCCCCCCACTTTTGTCAAAAGCATTTAGAAAGTGACACACTTCTTGCTGCCAGTTGGTGGCGCTATAACTTTGACTCACAATAGTTACATCCATCTGATCGGCCTTCCTAAACCCATAATATATGGGTTTAGGAAGGCCGATCAGATGGATGTAACTATTGTTGCTATATAGCCGACTTCCTAATTTTAAATTTATTTAGGTTCAATTACCAAACATACAATCTTAATTTAATTTAAAGCAAACAATACATTTACAATATATGGGTTGTATGCACATTTTGTAATAAAAAAAGAGATATATATCCAAAAAGACAAGGCCTTAAAGGGTTAAACTCTTGTCACTGTAACAGACACAATCTCTCTCACACACACGTCAAATCACTTACATTTTATATGCAATATTGACTTTTTTCTGTTTCAGCAGTGAAACTAGTTAAACAAAGATCACAGCAGAACCATTGCGCATCTCACAGCAACGTGTTTTCTCATTACTGAATGATTCAGCATTTTGAACGAATCGGTTGACTGAAAGATTCAATGACCAATCCATAATCTGTCTCATTCATGAATGACTCAGCCGTTCGAACGAATCGTTCGAACAAATGAATCAATGACTCGCTCATTAAGACGGTCGCCTGGCGACACCTAATGACGGTTTAGTGATATGTTTAAAAGTATCATTCTTTCAAACGATTGTTAATTAACTCATATTTGAAACATAAGCTATATATATATATATATATATACACACACATATATATACACAAAAATAAAATAAAAACACATTTGAAGCGTGTTTGCTTACTAAATTGTGAGCGGAACGAAAGTTGCAGCAAATATCAGCAATAAATTTCATTAATCACGAGAGTGAAGTGCTGACTGAAAAGATGATGACGGAATAGGCTATTTTATGTAAAAGCGCCTATTTAAGCGAATCTGTCATTGTACTCTTTTGTTGTTGTGTTTTCCGTGAAAAATAATAGACTATTGAACTCACAATTCAAGCAATCGGCCCCCGATATTGCACTAATTTTAAAGTGACACTAAAAAGTATGCGGCTGCAGTGGCATTCATTACAGTGCGCATCCATGGCGACGAGCGAGCAAAACAGAGCGAACGTTTTTTCATTTCTACTTCCATAGAAATTCATTCGAGCGCACTGCGAGCGCCACCACTATAAATGTCCTTACTTTACTTTCACTTTTAACTTAGCGATATAAAAGCCCCCGGTGTTACACGTCAAATAACCGGTGAGAAAAAATTCTCGGAGTCACATAGCAGCTACCTATATTTAAATACAACAGGCCTACCTGATTTTGAACACAAGAGGGCAGTATAGCCCTATGTATTATTTGATATATTTATTTTTTAACTGAATAGTGCATCCTGGCTGTTTTTAAACTTGTACATTATTCTTAAATTGAAAACAAGAATAAAATGGGTTTAGTTCTGATATTTGTATAATTTTATCTAGAAATAAATGGTGTATAATTACATTTTTAGAAGATATGAAGCTTTTAGTGTTTTTTTTTTTTTTTTACATGACTTTAATCCCTCGCCATAGCAAAACAATTAGAGATATTCAATAGATATTCACAATTATGCTTCTTTAATGTATTT